CAGCTTTTTTCATTCTAAACTGCATTACTATACTGTCCAAAAAAATGCGTATCCACTTATTATTTATGCACCCGTTTAATGCTATTACTCGCTACATAAACACACGATAAAAAGCTAATGTGATTACAATTTCCTTCCTATCATACACTCATTATAGCCATACGTATAGTCTGCAACATTCTTAGAGTGTTCTCTATAATGTTTATTATATTAATTGTGTTATTTACTTAGTTCGTAGTTTAGTATCTCGCGCACTCGTAGATTGAATATTAATATAAAATATTGTATTTAAACACACCCAGCGTAATGTGGGCAGGACAATACCTATTTACTCCAACTGGAAGAACTGAAGGTACATTGAATATCAATGGCTAACATTGATTTGAAGATTTTTAAGCAACCCAAAATATGTAAATAGTATTAATAGAATACTAAAAAAACACTGATAATATTAGCCAATTAACAAAAGTAATAAAATAATATTTCTTAATTAATTTGCAAGTAATTTAACACAGTAATTAAATACGAAAACCTTCATATTCTTAGATAAGTTGAGTTAACTAATTAAACAGGAATCGTAGAATGGACGTTAAACCGTAAACCTCACTAGAAAAACAGAAACCACGAACAAGTTTAGACCTTTTCCTTTAATTATATTTTGTTTTTATTCAATATCCCACGTATATTTCTGCCTATGAAATATAATAATAATGCTACTATTGGAAAGTATAATTAATGATTCTGCGTAATTTAAAACTGAAGTTAATTAATGAATTAGGGCTGCAACAATTACTACATACATTATAATTGCGCAATAATTCAGCTACTTACTGATTACTTATCTACTGTACATATTTATTAAGTAATATGAATATGAAGGGTTTTAATTACTACTTACTTTTGTTAAAACTATCAGATCTGCGGATAAGTGACCAGGAAATAACAGTATATAATTATCTGTCTTTACCCACGTCTGTCATAAGTACGTTTATAACACAGCTTAACTGCCTTTATAAGGAAACTTGCTGCTTTTTCCTATCACTATCTATATTAACAGTTGTTTTATCCATTTCAGTTGGTTGATCTACTTTATCACCGACTCTTGGCCCATACTATTATTATTAATTTATTAATTAAATTAGCATTAGTCGTTTTATTTTTATGGATGGAAATAGAAAAATATGTAAAATGTACTAAAGGATCTAGTCACGTTGGAGGAATACCTATAAGAGCAAGACGAGGAAAAAGACAAGTTAATTAACCTATAATAACAAATTCATCAATAATTGACTATGATATTTTTCAGATAGAATCTTAATGACACCAGGTGGGACCACATGTATGTTGACTAAATAAATCGCATTAATAACTATATCCAAACAGCCATTAATTAGTACAGAGGCAATCATCTACCTCTGTACTAATTGGCTATGCACATATATATACAGAATCATTTTGCTAACCTATGCACATATATATAGAGAATCATTTTGTAAACTAATTGTATTGATTGTAATGTTCGTTTATTACAATAATTTAAATTCACCTTTAATGTAACCCAAAGTAATGAGTTAATTCCTATGACACTCATCTCAACTTGTCGCCTAGTTTTCATTCCTACCTTCAATATACTACATACGTACATATATAAAGCTGCAATCTGGCTGTACAGTAAAATTTAGATCAATCCATTTAATAATTTACTTTGAGCGACTTATCATTATATATCAACCAGTTACTCAGCGCCGTTCATCCTTTATATAAATGGGTTCTTATCACTTAAAAGCTCAAACCAATCCCCACGAAAATCTGCCATTTGTCCATCCCTTTATTCGACGGCAACAATCTGCAATTGACTTGATATGGTCAGAAAATATTTATAGAAATTTATTGATTTAGCGTTGGCACTTCTATACACGGATAGTTGACAAGAAATTCTGAAATACTAGCTACTAGCCGCGACTTCGTCTGCTTAAAGTTAGTGCTTCAAGTAGTCAATTTTTTATAATGATTTCAATACTTTGAATGTGTCCAATAGAGTACCGCATTTTGTTTGTTACACATTTCATTTCTGTCGATAAACCGTTTATTTGTTTAGTAGAACATATCTTAACGACTAAACTATCTTTAAAAGTTCGTAAACAGAGAAACAGAAAAACGTTCGCATGTGTAATATGAGTATAGATGAAACATGAGTGTAATATATAAATGCAAAAAGATTGATGTATTCCACTTCAAAACTTTGTGGTATTTTAAATTCAATATCTACACAGAAAATGCTCTGCAGTGGCTCTCTCTGAGTAATATTCGTCCAATTCCAAGTACTACAGCAATACTATGAGGTCAGTGCTCCCTTCAGTATGAAAAATGTACACAAACAAAATATGAAAAATATTCGCTATTTATATGAATAAAACTTTATGCTTTATATTAGACTGTTCGAACATACCTACCTACCTAAGGTAGGTATGTTCGAACAGTCTAGTGCATATATCTACATGACATGAAAGTAAACTTTTATCTACATAATTCTAGTATTTTATTCAGATTATGAACATTAAATATTTGAATTCTTCTGAGATCTGTACATAATATTTGACATATTTATTCTTATATTATACTAGCTCTACTCACGACTTCGTACGCGTGGAATTTAACTTTATTTTTCTAAAAAAGTAGCCTAAGTTACTCCTTATTACATCAGATAGCTGCCAAAAAAAGACTCGTCAAAATCAGTCCAGCTATTTCAGAGGTTAGCCGGAACAAACAGACAGACAGACAAAAATTATAAAAAATGATATTTTTTTTTAATGGAAACAATTTTCAAGCAACAATAATCTGTTAGTTTGTTTTGGAAAGGTATACCTCCAAAACAATTTGTATCGAACTTTCTACATCTGCAATTATTTACCATTTAAATATATAAATATAAATATAAAAAACTCTAAATACTAATTTAATCGAATGTATCACAGAATATTAGATTCAATCTCAAAATCAGATGTTATAATGTAACTATTATAAAGTCTGTATCTATCAAAATAAAACAATATAAAACAGCAATATACAGGTATAATAAAAAAAATTGAAAACACAGTGGTAGCTAACAATACCCAATGGTCGAGCTGTATAAGTAATGTTTAAGTTACAGAGTTTGTTACTCGTTGAATAACTTTATTAATAAGCAAAGTTGTTATGGAACAATATCGAAATCCAAAGTTTTCCACTTCAATTTATATTCCAACTCTCGCATTTTGACGCGTTTTAATCGTGGGTCTACTTAATACTTGTTAATTTGTTCTATAACGGACAGACAGTAATTAATTCATGTCAAAATACTTACATTATAACTACAAAGTAATTCGATGTATAGTTAGTATTCCGCCGACGAATGTATAAAGTTTGAAGTACATAAAGTATATGGTATTACCTACAGATGGTAACGTATAACGGAGACAGTTGAAACAACCCGGAAGCCAAATATTAATTAATATTCGTAGAACAGAGTACAACTTTTCTCTATGTTAAAGGAACAAGGGTCGAATTCGGTATAAAATGTTTCTTGTATTTTCACAATCTACATAATACTGCCTATGAGAAATACAGAACTTATTTTAATATTTCCATGTCCTTCAGGATCATTTTCCTTTAGAAATATTATTTTTGCATTAATCAAAATTATACGTTGACGATTATCAACCAAGCCAGTTTTTCTGACAAATTCCAAATCATTTTCTGACTTAGTTCGAGATCTATGCATTCACTTAACTCTGTTTACCTATTTGTTTTCACTATAAATAAGTTTAAAGTTACAGTATCTATTTGGTTTAAAAGTTGTCACCAAAACAAATATGAGAAATCAGCATGTTTTTAACAAAAAGTAAAACTACATAATTTACAGTATCTATAAATAATCACTAATATTGTAACAAAATAAAAATATAGCATATAGAATACGTATAATATCATTTCAATCTACAAGGATATGGACTATCACTGTGTATGTATGTACATGTATCTGAAATTATGTTAAAAACATTGTTGCATGTATGTTCTCATGTAATCATCGATAACTATGCTCTTCACACTACGATTTTATCCACAATTATTGCTGTAATAAAATCACCAAGTATAGGCTCAGTGTTGTACCCAATATACATAAATTATTTTATCTCTCCTCTTCCAGCCCCAGTTATTACATTGTATATTTGTATATAGCGCAGTCTGTGATTACACCTACTGTAATTGTAATTACACTTCATTTGTGTTACTGAAATGATAAACATAACGACGTCTTTCACACAACAACAGTTTGCAAAACATTAATAAAATTACATTCGCCATGAAAATTACTTGTATTATATTTATTACAATTTACAAAAACATACATACAGAGAACATAAAACGAACATTGTGTTTTTTCATGTTAATCGCTTCACGTATTATCGTTTTTTCTTGAGTAGTAATTCCATTCTTTAAAAAGAATTTCTAAATGAAGGAACTCAATATACTTAGTACCTGCAGCTAGAACCTTCAATCTTTAAATTTAGGATATTTTTATGACACAGAATTTCCAGAAAGGGATTTGCTAAAATTCCCACGGGAACGGGAGATAAGAAATTCCATGCGAACAAACTACTGCGGTAAACTGTTATGTAATTGCTTAATAATCATAATAATAAGTACCTATTATACATTACGAAGTATAAAAGCTCACACTAATCTCTTCTTTTATATTAAAAAACAAGTCGATGTTCTTGATAGACTGTGTCAATGGTAAACCACGTAACAGATGATTTTATTTACTATTATTTACATTTTTTTACGGAGAGTACCTTAAAAATATGTTCTTATATGTATGTTTTCAACCCAAAGGCAGACAAAGTCGGGTCAGTCTCTAGTCAATTATAAATTACACAATTTTGTACTTATAAACAATTGAAATATGAGGTTTAATTTTAACACAACACTATTATTAATGGTCATTTTTTTATTTTCAGATTACACTAATCAAAGTGCATCGAATGACGGTACGTAAAGATTAATGGTTATTATATAATCATATTTAAAAATATACAAGCACACGATATTGATGTTCTTACATGAAAAAAATCACACATATTTCATGAGTTTCAGTGATTACATGTATATTTTGTCCCTTAAATATACATAGACCAGAGGAAGATTTTGTATAAAACAGCAGTGGGACGGTAACAGGTTGTCATAATGATGACACCTGTGAAGAACTAAAATCTTTCATCTTATATAATACAATATTTCTACATTTGCTTTTCTTGTCTACTTTATTGACAAAATATTGCCCGGTAAATCCGTAAATAGGTTCCATTAAAACAGTGTGCGTGTGAACAAACGGGCGGAAAGTTCACATGGATCTATCCAATACTAAGTGAGCTCTACCACTTCAAAGAATAAAATATCTTGCGAACTCACCGCAAAGGTCTTGCGAGGGAGGGAGGCTCAAAATAAATCGGTCGCTCTGTAAAGATTAGGCACATGTGGGGTGTGGGAACATAGACACCCTCAGTAGCAAGGTGCAGCTGGTGAATGTACCTATTCATGACAATCATATGTATTTAACTTTATCGCACGAAACTACTGCTACTTAGAGCATTACATATCAATGAAATACGGATATCGATACAGAAGTTTGTTTCAAAATATTTGAACTAAATTTTGTTTTAATTGTGTGATACAATTAATATAAAGCGAAGACAGATGAAATTTCTGAAAACTGAGTACCGGAAATACTTATGATATTATAATCAGAATTTTGGATTATTAATCAATCATTATCATTAGATATCACTATGGCCATTAATTTATCGACTGACACATAGATTTCTATAAATAATAATATTCTACGTTCGTATCTTTGTAAATATTTTGTCGGAACATATAACAAATCAAATGATTCCGAGACCCTTAGTAATACGTATAACTTCTATCTACATTAATAAAATTACTTGAATGTATCAGGATTTACCACAATCGGAACCCTGTACAAAATGCATAACCTCTTACATAAATATACCCTGTACATATATACTTCTGTAATGAGATGTATAGAGACTTCGGCGCGATGGTTTCTATAAATTGCTACCTACTATTAATGTATTAGATCTTTGTTCTACATTGCAATATGAATCATTAATGGTGATGTCACTTGCTAACAAAATAACAGGATTATTTTCTAAAACGCACATGCAGCAACTGGTTCTTAATTATTTTTAAACATGACAGCAAAATATAAATGATGATGAACTAACTTATTTCGTTAACAATAAACAACTAAACCGGATTTGACAAAGAACTTACGTGAGACAGAGACAGTAAACCATTCTGGTTTACTGTCTGGCCTAGAAGCTTCTCTGAAGAATAAAAAGTGAAATTACGTCACGAACGTTATTATCTATTCTGCGATACCCGTGGTACTGTATATGTCTATAGTCAACTTCTGCAATTTCACATGAGATGGCCAACTTGCCATTGCCATGCTGTAAAATATTTAAAGAGATCATTCAAGTGCAAAGCACTTCGCGCCTCGAGAGTTACAAGTACCGTCGCAAGTTAACGGATTTAAATGAAATGTGGTACTTATATAGACTATAACCCAGATTACTATACGGGATACAGTTAGTATTATAGACATTGAGTTGTCCTTATATACATATATCTAAATTTTTAATGTGTTGGTTAGTCCTAGATCATTTTGTGGCTAAACCCAGTCATAACAATCTGTAAGATGCTACGAGTATGCTACACTTGAAGAAAGACTACTAAAAACATTTCTTTGTGTTTCCGTCACGCAGACAACTCAAAATCTAAGACGAAACTACTAATATGATCTATAATAAGATGATAGTATAACTGTCAATAAAGATCTAATATCACTGTCGATATGATAAAGTTATTAATTTCTGAATGTAAATCAGGTAAGATTATGATTTAAAGTTTCTAGAATTTGATTGAAATGATATACATAAATGTACATACGGTACACAGTACGTATGGTTCAACCCTATAAAATGCGATAGATTCAAAACAAACATTCGCATAATTTAAACGAAAGTTTATACACAATTCGATGTGCAACTAGACTACCGCATGACAACTAAATACCATATGACGGCTCATTTAATAGAAAGTACTAATAAACTTTTATTTTAAATAAAGATCAGATATATTTATTTCCTTTAAATAATGCAATGAAGAGATGACAGTTGTTTTTCAGCACCTGCCACATCATTCAAGAAGCGGAAGAGAAAAAAAAGGTGACACATGCAAACCATCACATTTAGAAATAAAAAAAATATGTAAAAAACGCCTTTCGAGTTCGAACTATAACAGAATCATTGTAATATATGATGAAATTAGAAATTGTGTAACTTCAAGTCATTTTCATCTAAAAAATGTTATGACTTAAGTTATTATTAATATTTTTCTGCAAATGGTAGACATAATAGTTAGAACAGTCTTTCAAACTTGTATGAGGGAAACTTTCGCACGTTATATGACTACATAGGAGTACATCAACAAACAACACATCACCATAGCCTGTGCCTGTTAATCATCTCACTTTGCCCCTCTGACGACCAAAGTATTAATTTCTAGTCAGATTATTTTCAACTTTAATATCTCTACATATTTCCAGTTTACGAGAATCATTAAAATATTACCAATTGTTGGACTTAAATAAGTACATATAATAAGTAAATTAGAAAGCAACTAATTAATCCGTCGTTATTTTAAAACGTTAGTTTATTTAACTCTTTATAAAGCAACAACGTCCGCCTGGCTTCATATATTAGTTGACCGGATTAAAAATAACCTATTTGTATATTCTTCCCAATTCCAAATCAGCATATATAGTAGGAACAATATGTAAATGCTAAAAAGAAATTATTTTCTTAATCTAATACTGTGAATGTTTAAAATATATTACTAAAAGACAACATAATGACAATGTTATTTTACTTAATTATGATATATGCCAAGTTCATTACATATTCATTTTCTTGTGAAACCACTCAGCAAGAAAATTCATTCATTTATGAATCATTAAATACTATAGATTTCACGTCGTATAGTTTCTTGACGATAATCATAAACAGACATTGACTCGATGTGAAAACGCTGTAGAGAGAACACCTTTGTTTTCTTTTAATAATGCAAAGTAATTAACAATGATTAGTTCAAGAACAGTATAGGCTCGACAAATTAGATTATTATTATTCTTGTGGTAAGAATTTATGATCAGAAATATTAATCGTATTAAACGGCTTAATCAATACTCCATAGCTATTAAATCTCCTAAAATAATAATCTATAGACGGATTAGCTACCTACATACTTCTTAAAATGAACAATAATTTCATTCTTCACCGCTGTGCACAAAACCAGCCCATAAATCACTTGTATAGTTTGGCGTAAAATGTATGATATGATAATATAAGTATGAAATAGATATGTGATACAGAAAAATTTATAAAAGCAATGCCATTTAACGAATAACAGGTTCTCTTGTGTCCTTGACTTTTTGCTTGTACTTTCATAGTTGTTTTCGTGAAAATATTAATGTAAACACTCTCATTGACATAATTCGTAAACATCGTTTTATATTCACAAGGATTCACATTAGCGTCTAAAAGCAGTTAATCTTTGTAAATTTCTCTCAATACTGGGCTGTCTCATATTTAATTTTATTACGGAATTATGTATGAGCAGAGGGGAACCTTGTTTAATGTAGCAGGAAAAGGAAATTTAAAGAGGAACGCTTACGAGGAACATTGTAGCAATGGCTCACGCCTTCTACGACCAGATGATCCATTAGGACAATTGAATAACAAGTTTTGATTAAATGGAATAAATTGTGTAGGTACATTGCGATACGCTGTTCTAGGCTAGGTTTATACGGTACATATATTAACGTATATTTTAGTTATGCATTATTTTCAGAACGTATTCAGCTTAATATATGTAGTTTAGATTTGTAATGGTAAAACAAAAAACACTTCAATCAATATGATATACATATTTCTAAAAATTTACTATTACATTTAAAGATGTTACAGAGATCAAATTAACAGGTAAAATAAACATATATCTATGCCTGGATACAGCATAAATCTACAATGCATTTAATATTAATTTCATTTATGAATGCAATACCTTCGGTGTTAGTAGGTAACCGATTGCATGTATGATTGTGGGACCAATGGCTTATGTAAGTAGGTCGGATATTAGGGGACGGAATGAGAGCGGCCCAGCCAACTGGGTCGCAGACTCCGAGAGGTCGCCCTGTACTGCCATCAGTCACCGTTGAAATATTGATACGACAGGCGTATTCCATTCAACACGTTCGTGGCACGACATGCCGAGACGGAAATACGGAAATTTACGGATATAATTCGAACTAATATGTCGGTGTTGGAGAAATATTGCTATGAATTCAAGTTGTAGATACAATGAAAAATGCTAAAATTAAGACGATATAATACAATGAATGAACGAGTCAGTCACTTGTAATTAGAATATTACTGTAAATTTTGTAGTTGTATACTGATTTTTAGTTCTGACGATATCCCATAAAACCATATATTGTGTAATAAAAACGTAACAATAAAATCTTTACATTCTTGTATAGAAAACATAAGGAAGTGACATAATATACTTCCATATATCTACATTAATTATTGCATCTATTAGGATTAAGGAAGCCTTGTTATTCGTGATATGTTTTGGTTTCATTGTTTGCACCAATATAATTATATGTGTACAGTATATTTTTTAATTTAACTAGGATAATATAGAACAGAACATGATTTTATATTTTGTTGTTATTATGTCGGTTGATAATAAAATCGGTATATGTTTTGTTTGTATATCATAGTACAATGTGTGTCGATTACAATTATAATTACGAAGAAATTGTGCACTCGTTATATATAAACATGCGGGACAATGAAAGTAGCTACAGAAACAGTTGATAATAATGTACAGTGGAAGAAAA